ATGATATCTTGTGAGGTTTTATTTTAGTATTTAGTTTAAAGAATAAGATAAAGAGGCTATGATGAATCTCATGAATAGCCTTTGCCTAGAAAACAAACACAGTGATTGCTCTTTACACATAACCTGAAATCAAGAACAATACCAGCATCTAAAGGTACAGGAATTTAAATCACAAGTGCATAAGGTTTGAATCCTGATACACCTGAACCATGTTTTGTACTACCTCAGCTTTCAAAAATCTGTAATTTTTCTATTGAATTGGGAGTTATTCATTTTGAGGGTAATAAAGAAATTCCAATTTGAACTTCCACGTTTATCTTTTAATTGGAATTTTCCCAAAGCACAAAAGTAAAAAGTGTAAAAGTTGCTGTGTTTCATTAGTTTCATTCTTTTTGAATGTTGCTACCCTGAAAGCTCTGTGTGAAATTATTAGAAGACAAGTTTTCAAATGGTGGTAAAAGAAGATGCATATGTGGGGACTCACTCAAAGGGCATTATTTAAAAAAGAAATTTTGTAGCCACCCAGATCTCAGGGTAGCTATGTCCATTCAAGGATAGAGAATCTGCCATCCGTGTGATTATTTTTACATCTGAACTTTTTTTTTATACACCAGAGAGACTCAAAACTTTCAGGGTCATTTGCCCAGCATGTAGTGGAATGTCCTGTGCAATAGATTCCAATTAATATGACCATGTTCAATGGCCCTGTATCACCAATGATGTATAACTTCTTTCCACTTGGCTTTATATGGCACTTCTTTGTTGCAGCTGTAACCAGGTCTATCGCCCCTTTGACAAAAATTTCAGTTACCCCAGAGAGAAGCTTTCAATTTTATTAAGCATTGAAGTCCACACATTTGTTCTTTTTCAGAAGAGCAGATCAAAAGCACTCTTTCTAAGGAAGTAATCTGATAAATTAGGATAGTACTGGTGGACTCTGGCAATAATGTTTTTTTCTGTAATTGAAACCTAAGAGCTTGTATAAACTGACTAGACTATCATGAACTTTTTAGCATTTAACAAAAGTTTCTTTCATTTTTTAAAAAAGTAAATAGGGTTCCTTGATTCTATTTAACCAGTTCTTTAGCATGCTGTGTCTTTTTGGTTGTGGTTAGGAAAACCTCAATCTAGGTTTAGTGATAGGGAACTGACAATCAAGGAAAAAAGCAATTAGATCATCAAGTTGTGGTATAGAGAAAAGCCTGTGGTTTTTCAATCCTATCTTTCACATTAATTCACTGTAAAAACTGGAGCAAGAGACTCAATTTTTTTCTGGGCCACAGTTTCCTCATCTTTGAAAAGGAAGGATTAATTGTATGGTATGTAAAACTTCTGCTGAATCAGAAATTCTCAAATTCTAAATGCCATACTTTGTGTTTACATATAGCCATTTCTTTTTCCTTTGTGTCTCCTGCCTGCTACAATTTCAGGTTTAGTTTGGCAATGGAATAATATGATGTAGTACTGCTTCACAAAAGAGCCCAGACAGAGTCTCATTTTTTTCCATAGTCCCAAACTGCAAGAGTTTGGAAAAGACACCAGACAGGCTCTTCTTGAGAAAATTCTCTCTCTCTCTCTCTCTCTCTCTCTCTCTCTCTCTCTCACACACACACACACACACACACACGTTCACACATATCAGATTTCTTCACAGCTGATGAGACAAATGTTGCCTTCTGTGTATGTCTGAATTTGAGTGCTACCCCCTGTTATTAGCACCTTCAAAGGTTTAGAATGAGATCTTTAAATTCCAGTTTGTGGTATTTCAATTCTTGGGAGGGGTATCATGAATCAAAATGCATGCCACACACTGCCTGTAGACTAAATATAATTACTTGTAGTGGTTTGTCAATGGGTGCTTAAAATATCAGCATTACATGTAGAAGTCTTAAAAATATTTTATCACTAAATGGAAACTATTTTGTATATGGATTCTTTCTAAATTTTAAGCTCTGATGATTGAGATTTAGAGGGGATCATGTTCTTCAGAAACTAAACACCACCAATATGGGGGTGACATTATTAGAAATATTTTCTTAGGAAGTAGAAATTTAGAAATCAAGTTTCTAATTTAGACCCTTGCCAATCCATTTCTGGTATTAGGCAATTCTCCAAACATCTACAAATGCTAGTTTGACACTGGAGATTGAATCCAGGGGCACTCTACCACTGAGCTATATCCCCAGACCTTTCTAAAATTTTTAAATTTTGAACTTGGGGTTCTCCTACCTCAGTCTCCAAAGCAGCTGGAATTTTGGGTGTGTGCCATCATGCCCAACTCTGTGCTGAATTTTTAAAGGTTAATTGTAATGTGGAATCTGAAACTATATAAATATTTTTTTTCTACAGGATTATGCTAAAATTCACTGATATTTTTCAAACTGAATGGATCTTTTACTCATGCATGATTTTGTAATATCATTCATTTATTGTTGAAAAAAAGTTGATTCACTGACTTAGTTTGATTTTTCTGAATGCTGATTCATTTCATTATTACTATACCAAGAGATCTTTTTGTTAAAACCACCACCAATCCTGTCAGGAAAACCTGTAAATGTGAAGAAAAAAAGAAAAAAAAAAAACCCAACAAATTCATGATGACAGATTAAAGTCTTCCAAATATGTTACTTTTATCTTACAGGTTCAAATTTTATTTTAGGCAAGAAATACCCTTTCTTTTTGTTTACCTATAAATATCAAAAGGTCTGCCAAATACTTGATGTGAGAATCCACATTTGTTTACTGGTCTTTTTCTCAAGCAAAAATAATGTTCCGTGAAAACAGGTTGATTCCGCCTCTAACTCAATTGTGTCAGTTTTTTTTTTTTTTTTTTTTAATATGTTTACTTTACATTTCTGTGGTGCTGAGGATTGAACCCAGTGCCTCATGCATGCTAGGCGAGCGCTCTACCACTGAGCCACCACCCCAGCCCCAGTTTTTTTTTTTTTTTTTCCCAGAGACAACCATGTTACTTCAATATGCAGCAATAGTGTTTCATGAACACTTTTCATTTCATTATGCAGAATGCTAATAAGACATGTACTCAAGGGTCTAGATTTATTAAAGTAATATTTTTATTGCTTTTTTTTTCTTACTCTTTCTTTTTTTTTGGCGGGGGCAGGGGGTGGGGTGTGGGGTGGAATTGCAGATTGAACTCAGGGATGCTTTGCACCAAGCTACATCCCCAGCCCTTTTTTATTTTTTATTTTGAGATAAGATCTCACTAAGTTGCTTAGGGCCTCACTAAATTGCTGAGACTGACCTCAAACTTGCATTCCTGTTGCTTCAGCCTCCCAGGTCACTGAAGTTATAGGTGTGTGTGTCAATGCTCCTGGCTATAAAAGACATTCTTGAATGAAACTGGCATTTTAGGGCTGGGGTTGTGACTCTGTGGTAGAGCGCTTGCCTGGCATGTGCGGGGCCCTGGGTTCGATTCTCAGCACCACATATAAATAAAATAACTACAACTAAAAAATAAATATTTTTTAAAAAAGAAAGAAAGAATGGCCTGTGTTCCCTGAGGAAAACCTCCACGTGGGACCCCCCAAGGCCCCTGCAAGGGAGGACCATGGGGGTGGAACTGCCACCAGGGGGACATCTGGGTGTCAAAAAAAAAAAAAAAGAAACTGGCATTTTCTTATTGGTGTGCCTGTCTGATGGTGAAGTATGTGATACTACCAATGTAGTTTGATATCAGTCCTTGAATCTTCCTAAGGACCACTCCTCCCGCCCATTGATTTTACACCATTGGTAATTATTAACACAGTGAAGGAAAAAAACTAACATCTTAAATTTATTATAAAAATAGCTTTGTTCTTGCAGACTTTTTACAGGGAGCTTGGAGACCCCAGGAGAATGCAGATTGCACTTTGAGAATTTCTGGACTAGAGTTTAAGATTGTAATGGTTTGACTTCTCTCTTTTAGTGGTCAGAAGAACGGGTCAGCTTCTCACTGCTCTCTTTGCCACAGAGTTGTTTCATCAGGAGTAAAGAATTATTGACACTGAGGTCCACTCATTAGAAGAAGGACCTACTTAATGACTGAGGCAAGATGTGAAAGCAGAGGGAACTTGAACTAATGTAGTTGGTACCAGTAAGCAGCACATAACTGCTCTCTTCTAACTATATTTGACTCTTTCCCCATGTGGGACAATAATAAACAGACCCTTAAGAAATTCTTGGTATTGTGAATTGTGCTGCTATGAACATCGATGTGGCAGTATCCCTGTAGTAGGCTCTTTTAAGGTCTTCAGGGAATAGTCCGAGAAGGGCAATAGCTGGGTCAAATGGTGGTTCCATTCCCAGCTTTCCAAGAAATCTCCATACTGCTTTCCAAATTGGCTGCACCAATTTGCAGTCCCACCAGCAATGTACAAGTGTACCCTTTTCCCCACATCCTCGCCAGCACTTGTTGTTGTTTGACTTCATAATGGCTGCCAATCTTACTGGAGTGAGATGGTATCTTAGGGTGGTTTTGATTTGCATTTCTCTGATTGCTAGAGATGGTGAGCAAAAAAATTTAAATTTTGAATATGAAAACTTCATAAAAAATTTTTAAAAGGAGGAGGAAAAAAACTGTTTTCAGCAATTAGCATAGTTGATGTTTTTTTATTTATATTGCCATCTCCTCCACCATGCCCAAACTAGAGAGTTTTTGGAAGTGAATCCCAAACACCATATTATACATATATATTTTTTATGTTATCTGTAAAACGATTATTTTATTTTTTCATTTTTTAAAGACACTTAATACTTTTACCAAAATATAGTGAATTGCTTCAAAATTGTGCTTTATTTGCTGTTGATTTCAATTAGAACCCCAAGTGGCAATGATTGATAAACTTTTGTTTCTCTTCATCCTTCTCATTCTGAATCTTCCCTCCCCAAACATTTTTGTTGAAGAAAGAGTCATTCTCCTTGTAGTTTTTCTCAGTCCCCAGAGTTTCCTATGAAGTGGTCCTTAGAGTTAAAGTCTTGGCTTTTTTTTTTTTTTTTTTTAGGTTATTCTTTGACAAGATTTCTGCATGGGAAATGTTGAGCATTTTCATCGGGAAGCACAGAGGTCTGGTTGTCCTCTCTTTATTTGTGATATTAACATCTGTTTATGGCCATTGTTTAGAGTAGGCCCATCATACCATTAATTGTTATGAAATGTTAATATTCTTTTTATAACAGTTTCATGTATTAGCTGAAATATTTTTGTACAGAGACTCTGCTCACAAATTTTGGTTACCTTCCAGTACCTACCACATAGGAAAGACAAAATACTCAGTTCTTTCACTTTATCTGTCCCTATCTTCTCACAGTTTATCCTCTCTCCCTGTATATGGTCATTTAAAAACTCTTTTGCTTTAGCTTTCCATTAAAAATAATAATAATAATAAACATAAAAAATGGTAACCATAACAGTCCTTGAACTTGTTCTTTTCATTTACTTGTATATCGTGGAGATCACTTTTATAGCAGTGTATAATAACAGCTTTATTTCCTTTTATAGTTTCCTAACACTTAATTGAGTGGCTACATCATGCTATTCAACCAGAACACTTTCTGACGGATGTTTGCTTTGTTCCCAGGTGTGTGCTGATCAGCGTTCCACAACCAGCTCTATATAAAGGAAAAAGTCCTGATTTGGAGTATTTGCAAATTTCTGTGGTATAAACATTCCCACCATGGTTGCTTTCAAGCTCCTACCATGATGCCCCTGAAGGTGAAGTTCGGGAGTGATGTACAGTGGCACATCCTTCAAATACAATACATGTAGGTTACCTTACTATGCGTAATAAAGCCTAGTAAATCAATTAGGAAATGAGGAATTTTGAATGCTTATTACTTTTGCTTTTAATATTATTTAATTGTTATAAGTTTATGTAATTTAATTTCCAATGCTGGCTGTATTTTAACAAACAGCTTGCTAAATTACTGACAGTTTCACGGCTGGTTCTCACAAGTGGAGAGAAGCCAGCTCTAGTATTTTCACTTGGTTGCTATTACAAATATTTCTGTGATGAATAGTTTTGTACATGTGTCAGTTTTCAGTAATTGCCAATGTATTGTTGGCCCAGAATCTCAGATGTGGAATTATTGAGTCAAAGGATAAATGTGATACTGTGAAATTATTTTCTAGAAAAGCGGTATCATTTGGCATTATCACTAAACACAAGAGTGTTTCCCTGAATCTTACTATCAGAGCATATTCTTAAGATTTTAGATTCTTTTCCCCCAAATAGGTGAGAATTATTATCTCATTATAGATCACATCTACATTTATGTTAGTATGAGTGAGGTTGATCATCTTTTTATATCTGGCATGACTGATATCTTCTTTGCCCCCCATTCCTCATATCTAGCTCATTACCAAGGATTTCTTTTTCTTTTTCAGTCTCAATTGCTACCATTCCAGGTGATGCTACAATCCTCTTATCTGGATTAATAATTAATCTTCCTATTTTTTTCTCCCTGCATCCAAAATTGTTGCCTTCCTTAATTCATTCTTTACAGATCACTCAGTCCAATTTTTCCAAGAAAAATGGAATCATATCATTCACCTGCTCTAGATGCTAAAGTAGTTTCCCATCATCCTTTAGAATCCAATTCTTCCTTAATCTGACCTATAGGCCTTGGCAGAGAACTTTGTCACAAAACACATTTAACCATATAGGAAGCTTGGAAATATAGTGTAGAAATGGAGGACAAAGAGAATTTTCTTATACTAGCACAGGTTAAATATGTAATTAATTAGACAATGGTTAAGTTAGTTTACAGTTTATTTGGGAAGATGTCTTAAAACAGGTGATAAACATGAGCTGGTAGAGAGAAAGTAGAAGAATGTAAAAGGAAGTAGCAAGAATATCTTGGCAATAGGAAGCGAATGGGAGAGGTTCAAGGTGCAGAAGGAACTACTATGTGGAGTCTCTAAGAGGCTGAGAAAAACCACAGCTCTTTCCAATTTTTGAGGTTTGCAGAATGTTATAATTAAAAAAATTCCAAAACAGGGCAGCAAAATTTATGGTGTATTTCAAAGACATCTGTTTGATACTTGTAACATCAATTTGCAACATAATTCCATCATTCAGAAGATGATTACAGGATTTACAAAAAGATATTAGTTTATAACACACCACAGAAGATGTGCTGTGGCAACAGAACCCAGGTTTTAAAGTTCTACGATGTATGTTTCTTTTCAGTATTACTAGAGTGTCCTTAAGATGGTGAATCGTGTCCTCCTCTGGATTTGCCAGGGTTCTTTGGAGAAACAGAACAAATAGTGTGTGTGTGTGTGTGTGTATGTGTGTGTTGTGGTGTTTATGACTTATTGATTTTAGTATTGGGAATTGAACCCAGGGGTGCTTTACCCTGGAGCTACATCTCAGTCATTTTTATTTTTTATTTTGAGGCACGGTCTTACTTAGTTGTCTAGGAAAGCCTCGAACTTGTGATCCTCCTTCGTGGGATCACAGGTGTGTACCACTCCACCCGGTCTGTTTATGATTTTATATAAGTAATTGGTTCATGCAATTACGTAGCTGTCCAAGTCCAAAATTTGAAGTGTGGGCCAGCAGGCTGGAGACTCGAAGAAGTTGATGGTGCAGATAAAATCTGAAGGCTGTCTCCTGGAGAACTCCCTCTTGCTAGGGAATGTCAGTGTTTTGTTCCATTAAATGATTGGATGAGCCCCAATCACGTTCTGGAGGGCAATCTGCTTTATGCAAAATTTACTAATTTAAGTGTTAATCTCATACTAAAACAATCTTCAAGATGATACATAAAATTAACCTTCATACCCCACAATAATGATGTCTTGAAGTTCTGACCCTCATCATCTCAGAATGTGAACCCACTCTGCTAACACCTTGAGTTGAGACTTAGGCACCAAAACTGTGAAACAATAAGTTTCAATGGTTTTTAACCACGCAGTTTGTGTTACTTGACCCAGCAGCCCAAGAAAACCAGTATAGACTGTATGTATGACTTCAGTTGAAGATATTAAAAAAATCTAAGTTGGAGGCCCTTTATTATAAAGTTGATGTTTATAGGTCAATTCACTAAAGGTCAGTTTTCTTTTTTTTTTCCTTTCTTTTTTTTAATTTTAATTTTTTAATTTGTTTTAATTAGTTACACATGACAGTACAATGATCTTGACATATCATACATTTGAATCAGATGGGGTATAATTTCTCATTTTTCTGGGTGTACAGGTTGCAGAATCACATTGGTCACAGCAATAATAATGTCTATTTTATTCTGCTGTCCTTCCTTTCCCTCCTTTCCCTCCCCTCCCCTCCCCTCCCAACTAAAGGTCAGTTTTCTAAAAAACCTCTTAAGAACAGTTTATCAATAATCATCTCACCAGTGTCAGGGGCAAGATTAAGTTTTCCAAAATAGTTTTTAATAGTTCACTAAACTGGCCTACATCCATCCCTTCATGCTAGTAGCTGTACAAGTTAAAGTTCACATCCTACAAAATAAGCATGAGAATTTATGGCCTTAGGTAGCTACAATCCACAGCAGTGATCAGGCCTCCAATTAGCAGTAAAGCGAGTTGAATTCAAGGAACCATCAGTTAATTCAATCAGAGTTTTAGGAAGAAAGATTCTGCCTTATGTAGTGAGTTAAACATTTCCCTTAAGATTAAAGAAATCCATATGACTTTATTCAGATCTAGATTCCCATGGATGTTTTCAGTTGTGAAAGTCTGTGTCTTTTCTGCTGTTTGTTAGGGAACAAAACCTGACAAGGAAAGCTTGACACCAAGTTGGCTCACACTAGGTAATATATATATATTTTTTTCCTTGGTGCTGTTGATTGAACCCAGGGGTGCTTAACCACTGAGCCACATCCCAAGCCCCTTTTTATTTTTTATTTTGGGGTGGGGTCTCACTAAGTTGCTTAAGGCCTTGCAAAGTTGCTGAGGCTGGCCTTGAACTTTGAATCCTCCTGCCTCAGCCTCAAGCATAGTTGTTGGAGTTATAGGCATGCACCACTACACCCAGCCCACACTAGATATTTTTGAAAGAATAACTCAGAACTCTTGGAGTCAGGCTGGATTTCAACCCCAACTCTGCCAGTTTCTAACTGATAGAGTCATTGAATCTGACTCTCAATTTCTTCTTCAGTGAAATGTGGGAGGAAAATCTCCCAAGTTTTTCCTTCTTTCTATTAGCTATGCTATTTGCAAGAAATCTATTCTACTTTGGTAAATCAGATAAAAGTTAATGTGATTTTTTAAAAAAAGGAATAGTTTTTGTTTTGTTTATCTTATAGAGTTGTGCAGTCAACATAATGCCAGTGTGGTGACTCACACTTAGTTCTGCAGGACTAAGGCAGGAGGATCACAAATTTGAGGTCAGTCTCTGTAACTTAGTGAGGCCCTTTCTTAAACTAAAACTAAAACTAAATACATAAATAAAAAGGACTGGGGATGTAGCTCAGTGGTAAAGCGCTCTTGGGTTCTAAGTGCCCCCCCCCCCAAAAAAAAAAAATCAATGTGATAGTAAATAATAATATTGCTTGACAAAATATATTAATATATGGATATAACAAATTTGTCTTGCTAGCATCATCAACAGCCTCAAAATAAATTTCTGGTTCAATATCGCAAATAAGCATGCTCTTTTTAAGCCCTTTAGGTAAGGAAAATAATTTTTGAAATTTGTAACTATGCTTATTTATATTTTCAAGTTTAGGGTTGCTAATTTATTTAACTTAAAAGATAACATTTATGCAATAGAAGCAAATACAGTTCTTTCCAACTTGGCATAAAAGGTTCACAAACTGGCATCTGTTGTTCATAAATGCAAAAATATCCTAAAAAACAAAAATATTTTGCAAGTAATCTGTAGTAAAATTTAATTTCAACTGTTTATAGTCAACCTATTCCACTTAATGTGATTATTTATAATGTCACTGCAAAAATATGTGATTCTTTCTTCCCATACAGAACTTAAGAAAGATCAAAAAAGACAAAGCAATTAAAGAGTAGTATGAAGGAGATATTTAAGCTGCATATATTTAAGAGCTGAAGTGAGTGTTATTAGGCCAGGAATGAAATAACTGTAGACTTTAGTTTTTTACCTTCTAGAAAGGTGAAAACAATTTTATTGAATGATTGTGAGCTCAAATTTAACATGGTCCTTTTAACAGAGAAAGTACAGTTTCTGAAATAAAACTCGATTTTTCTTGAACAAAGGAGAGTAACCTTGATTCTTCAGAACTTTTCTTTCATCAAAGTTGAACCATGGAATAATAAAGACTCTTGTGTCCTGGTGGCTCATGACACATTATCATTCCATGAATTGGCCTCAAAAAGTATAGGATCATTGTCAGGCTTAAGAAATAAAGAGTTCGATTTTCAGGAGTCGGATTGAACTTAGAATAAGACTCATATAGGGTTCTTGACCTCAATATTTGCTCAGCCATCTTTCAAGGCTCTGATTTGTTCAATCCCATTTTTACAAGGCACAGTTTTCCAACCCTTGGTTACTGCCTGGTCCTGTCCGTTTCAGGCAAGGTCAAAGTACCCTGTGTGAAGGTTGTGAGTGCAGTCCTTGCTGCCAGTCTTCTCCATGATGTTTTTCTATTTGCTTCAAAAAAAAAGGAAGAAAGAAAGAAAGAAAAAATATCCATATTTAATTAAAACCTCAGACTACACATGCAAAAGCTTGGGCACTTATTTGATAATCTAAAACACCTTGAATATTAATCCATCTTCCCTGCCATCCTTCAAAGGTCTTTTTATAATATTAAACAAAGAAATATTTTTCTTCAGTAAATACTATACTGCTAGCAGAAGACATGACCAAAAGCATTTCCACTGACAAATATTCATCATAGGGTAGTGGTTAGGAGTAGGAAAATTTGGGACTGGACTCAAATTCCAGCTCTGCCACACTTTAATAGTGTGGGGCAAATAACTCAACCTCCTTTCTTTACTTTCTCTCTCTCTCTCTCTCTCTCCTTCCTTCCTTCCTTCCTTCCTTCCTTCCTTCCTTCCTTCCTTCCTTCCTTCCTTCCTTCCTTTTTCTTCTCTCTCTCTCTTCTTTTTTGGTAGCAGGGATTAAACCCAGAGGCACTTAACTTCTGAGCCACATCCTTAGCTGCTTTTTATTTTTTATTTTTGAGAGAGGGTCTTGCTAAATTGCTGAACTTGTGATCCTCCTGCCTCAGCCTCCTGAATCACAGACTTGCCTCAACTTTCTTATCTGTAAAATGGAGGCAACAATACAGTAGATTATTCTGGGTAACAAATGTAAAACATTTGGTAAGGTTCCTGCTGTTACATATAAGAACTCGAGAAACATTTACTTTTTGCCATTATTTGAAGTGAATGAACTTATAACATTTGAAAGCTTTTATCTTGCAAAATTTTCTCACACCGTGTAACCCTCTTCCATGCTGTCTGCTTCAGTGGCCAACACACATGTCATGTTCTAGTGCCTCTACAGATAAATATCTCTGGAATCATGGCCTTCAAAATCACTAAGAATGGTGGGGAAATATCATGTTTAATTTATTCAAATGTCCCTGGCCAGTATGACTGTGACCCAGAGCTTATCATGACTGTATCTTTTTGCCTTCTAGTTTATTTTTTTTCTCAATTAAAAAAAGTCCTATTAAATACATTTTTGCTGAGTGTGAAGTTTCACTACTTCCATATTAGAGACTACTGGCAGGGCCTACCAGGCCACAATCATTTAGAATCCTATTCCAATATCATATCAGTGAGGAATGACAGAAATAAGGTTTACAGATATCCAAACTCTCATGAGACTGAGCATGTCAATTTTCAAAATATGGAGTATGGCTGGGTGCAGCAGTGCCCACCTATGACCCTAGTGGCTTGGGAGGCTGAGACAGGAAGATCACAAGTTCAAAGCCAGCAACTGAATGAGGCCCTGAGCAACTCAGCAAGACCCTGTCTCTAAATAAAATATGAAAAAGGGCTGGGGGTTGTGGCTCACCCCTGGGTTCAATCTGGGACCATAAAATAAAGAAGTTATGCTGTATGAAATTTAGACACACTCAGCTGTATGCATTAGACCACACATTTATTTCATTTTTGAGAATATACACAGTATTTGAAGTGAAAACTAATTTCTGTATTTCTCTTGTTGACTACCTACTATATCCTAGGCACTTGAAATAGTTTTTATTCAGGTACAACTGAAGTACAGTAATCCTCATTCTACAGGTCTGACAAACATACACAAGTGTACCGCGACAAAATCATGGGACAGTTCCACTACCCCAGAACATTGCTCCGCACCCCCAAAGTCAGCCCTATCCCCTGCAAGACACTGATCTGCTTCCTGACTCTACACCCCAGTCACTTTTCATAGCCATCATCCCAGGTCACTTTATCTAAAACTCCTCTGAGTGGTAATATTACTCTTGTGGCAGAGACAGAGTTGGCTGAATATTTTTTGCCTTAGGTGATAGCTAGTCTGTAACTTTTAGTCTTATCAACACCAAGCCTTATAACAAAGTGTTAGGAAAAAAATAGCTACTAGCAAGTGACTTGTTTCCCATTAATGGAAGCTGATTACTTTCTTAAAGGGAGATTCCCCCCCCCCCCCCATGACATTGCTCCTTCTCAGAGTTTGACTTGTTATTTTATTTTTTGGCACTGGGGATTGAACCCAGGGCACTTAACCATTGAGCCACATCCCCAGCCCTTTTTTATTTTTGATTTGGAGACAAGGTCTTGCCAATTTGCTTAGAGTCTGGCTCATTTGTGAGGCTGGCTTTGAACTTGCCATTCTCCTGCCTCAGTCTTCTAAATTGCTGGGATTACAGGTGGGTGTCACTGCACCTGGCAGTAACACTACTTTGTTTTTTCCTGAATATGTCAGGAATATGCTTTCCTTCTGCTGTAATACTCAAATGAAGATAGAGTAATGAGACTATAAAATTAATTTTAAAACTAGAAAATGACCACTGATTTTTATTAAGAGCTTATTTGTATTCCAAAATAATCTAGAGGCAATGTATAAACCCTGTCCTTTAAAAAAAAATTTTTTTTGAGTGCTACCCAGGATTGAACCCATGGGCGTTCTACCCCTGAGCTATGTCCCCAGGCTGTTTTGTTTTCAGACAGGACCTAGTTAATTTTCCAGGGCTGACTTTGAACTCACTATTCTCCTTCCTCACCCTCCTGAGTAGCTGGGATTTCAGGTGCATGCCACCATACATGGTTCACCTCAGTCTTTGATGGCACAAATAGAGTGAAAACTAGCAAAACATCCTTAAATACCTGGCTCTAATAAGAACCACCAATCCACCAATAACCAACTTGTTAGACTCCATCCAATGACAACAGAATTTGTTGTGCTGAGACTACTAACCAAGATAGTATCTTGGGTCATAAAATAAAACTCAGCAATTTCTTGGAAATGGAAATCATACAAAGTATGTTCTGTAAGTATAACAGAATTAAACCAAAATAGCCCAGTAATCTTGAATTTTATTTATTTATTTATTTAGTTGTTGATAAACCTTTATTTTATTTATTTACATACAGTGCTGAGAATAGAACCCAGGGCCTCATGCCAGGCCATGTGCTACCACTGAGCCCCAGCCCCAGTCCCAATCTTGAATTTTAAATGGTAAAGGTAGAGTTTGTAGGTAAGACCTTGGGCTCTGGATTTGAATAGAAAAGAATTTGAATTTTGGTTGTATTTATTTATATGTTTTGGAAGCTTGGACAATTTATTAGATTTATAGTTGTTTTATTTTCTAATTTGTAAAATGGGCCTAATAATTATCTATGTCTTACACTATTATCATATTTACATAAAGAGAGTAAATTGCCTGGGAGAGTTTACCTCTCATGTGTTCGATGTACCTTGGCTATTATTATGAGGTTCTGGAAGCCCACTTAAGGTAAGATTGTTGATAACAAAGGCAGGAACCCCTGTTTGGATTTAAAATAAGAGGAATGGGGGCTGGGGATGTGGCTCAAGCGGTAGTGTGCTTGCCTGGCATGCATGCGGCCCGGGTTTGACCCTCATCACCACATACAAACAAAGATGTTGTATCTGCCGAAAAACTAATAAATAAATAAATAAAATAAGAGGAGTGTGACGGATTCCTTGACATCCATCCAGCATGATGCATTTTAACATTTTACTAGAATATCACTCATTTGTCATTTTGGAAATATTTACTGTATGTGACCTGCATCTTTATTCACATTCCGGAGCCCAAACTTTGCCTAGCATTGGTGAACTGTGTTTTCTGGGGTTGATTCATACAGCCACCCTCTTTACCATCTTCTTTTGACTGATTAATTTTGTTGATAAAATGGGAACCATAATAGAAAGAATTCATTCATTTAATAAATGATTACTTGGCACCTACTTTGTAGTGAGCACTATCTTAGATAATGGGAAAACAATGGCAGAATGTATTGTCTAAAGGGGAAGCAAATACAACAAGATTTTTTTTTTATTTTTAGTTGTAGATGGACACAATATCTTTTATTTATTTTTATTTTTTAATTTATGTGCTGCTGAGGATTGAACCCAGTGCCCCACGCATGCGAGGCAAGCACCCTACTACTGAGCCACAACCCCAGCCCCAAATACAACAATTTATTATTTATTTATCTATTTTTTAGGTATCAGGGATTGAACCCGGGGGCACTCAACAACTGAGCCACATCCCCAGCTCTTTTTCGTATTTTATTTAGAGACAGGGTCTCACTGAGTTGCTTAGGGCCTCACTGTTGCTGAGGCTGGCTTTGAACCCATGAGCCTCCTTTCTCAGCCTCCCGTGCCACTTGGATTATAGGCGTGTGCCACTGTGCCCAGCAAATACAATAATTTATAATAAGCAATTAGAATAAAAATAGTGAATGCTATGACCATTGAAGTACAGTTTAATAGACAAAGACACTTGAGTTCAGATCCCCTTTGCAGTTGCTATTCCTGTCCACTCTGTGTTAAGGGTAACGAATAAGAGATATCAAAACTATTGGCTGGGCTGGTGGATGACAGGCAGGATGGGAAAGGGGGGCACCCCGTAGTGTGTCCTTGTACATTCATGATGGTGTCATAGACCCAGAGAAGATTAGAACACACTGTTATAAGCTCACCTCTCAGATCATCTTTCAAATTCAGAGATGCCAAAAGATCAAGATTCCAAAATTAGGATCTTATGGGTCTTTCCAAGTGAATATGCTTACCAGTTTTGCTAATAATGATTTTATGAGTATTTGTCAAAAGCTGACCTGAGGGAAGGCCTATGCTTGTGAAAAGTAGAAAATAATTTTATTTAAAAGAAAATGATTTTTTATAACTGAAGACGATTGTTGTAAATTGTGGCTTCTAAGAATGTACAGGAAACAGGTGTCTTTTGAAGCTGTTTGAGACAGAGACAGAACTCAACAGATGAAATGGGGGTTAAATAAAATCTCATCGTCAGCAGGTTTAAAAGTGGTTTCTATATTAAGGAGGGCATAAGGAGCTAGATGGAAAAGGTATTTCAGTGACTAAAATAACTGACTTTTTTGACCACTCTAGGGAGCAGAAAGACTTTAGTTTTGGATCCTTGGGCACATGATTACAGAAAGACCAGAGAGTTAAAATGAGCGTGAGTATTATTATTGACTATTCTGTCAGGCTTAGCAGCTTTCTGTATGGGGGCAATTAAATGTATTCAGAAGCTTGAATCAGTCTCTCAAAAGATTTCAAGTAGCAACGTGAAATTCCTTCTTTAAGGTACATCTCTAAAGCCATAGGAGCCGTGGTCCAACCCCTTAATGAGAGCAAAGCAATTTTCCTAGGTTGGTAATGTCTCACAAGTTTTGTATGATTGAAAAACAGAGAATAATTTGTCTGTAAAGCTCTAGGAAAAATGAGAAGATTCTCAAACAGAGAACTGAAGGACTTAATCTGGTATTAGAATTCCAACCACCTGCTGTAGAAAGTTTTATAAAGTATGTATGGGTATATTCTTTTCATCTGTATAAAAACTGGTAAGATAGGTTATTATTTCTTTTTCTTTTTTCCTTTTCTTTCTCTTTATCCTTACTGCCCCCCCCCCTTTCTTTCTTTCATAGATAATCAGTCCAAAAGTCAGGGAAATGAAGTGACTTACCCAAACTGCAATTACTGCTAAGTGGCAGACTGAGTACACCTCCTTTTGGATTCTTCAGCTTCACTGGAATAGAACATAATTTGGATATGTAAATAATCTCTATGAAAATATTGTTCAAAAGATGCAAAAATTTACCACAGGTTTCAGAGTTTCTGTTTTCATGTAAAGAAGTAACTAATGATTTTATGTTGAGTGTGAGCGATACCTTGTTCTCTGTCTTGGTAACTTTAAACAAATTATTAGATTATTAGTTACTATCAAACTCATTTTTGTTTTATTTACATTTGTAATGTGATTTTATTGTAAAAACTTTTTGAAAATAGAGATAAACCAAAATAAAGATTATCTAACTCCCCAATTCTTTACCAGAGAAATAACTGATAAGGGCTGGGGATGTGGCTCAAGCGGTAGCGCGCTCGCCTGGCATGCGTGTGGCCCGGATTCGATCCTCAGCAGCACATACAAACAAAGATGTTGTGTCCACCGAAAAACTAAAAAATAAATATTAAAAAAAAATTCTCTCTCTCTTAAAAATAAAAAAAGAAAGAAAGAAATCACTGATAAGCTTTAATGTATCTTTCTAGTTTTTTTTTTCTTTGTTGTTGCTGTTGGGTACAGAGATTGAACCCAGAGCCTCTTAACCACTGAACCACATCCCCAGCACTTTTTTTTTTTAACCACATCCCCAGCACTTTTTTTTTTTTTTTAAATTTTTAAATAGGGTTGCTCAGTTGCTGAGGCTGACTTTGACCTTGTAATCCTCCTGCCTTGGTCTCTGAAGATGCTGGGATTATAGGTGTGCACCACCATACCCATCTCATCTTTCTAGTTTCATATACTAAGGATGGTTCAACTTAGTTTTTCAACTTTATAATGGTGGGAATGCAATATATATTGAGTATAAGCCGTACTTTGAACTTTAAAATATTTATTATTATTATTTTAGTTGTAATTGGGCACAATACCTTTATTTCACTTATTTATTTTTATGTGGTGCTGAGGATCGAAGCCAGGGTCTCACATGTGTGAGGTGACGCTCTACCACTGAGCCACAACCCCAGCATCCCTGTACTTTGAATTTTGATCTTTTCTCAGGCTAGTATTATGTGGTATGATGTCTCTTGTGTGATGCGGGGCAGCAGAAAAGAGCTGTAGCTCTTGGCCTCAAAGTCACCAGGGGAAGCAGTGGATATGCTTCAGTGTACTGTGTTGCTTGGCTACGATGTCAGCAGGCTAGGTCTACTACATGCATTTTCCACTTGTGATATTTTCAATTTATGATGAATTTACTGGGATATAAATTTAACTTTGTAAGCATCTGTATATATATATATATATATATATATATATATATAGTAAATCATATCCACAAATATATACTGTATAAACACATTTGAAATTTTATATACACACTTAAAATTTTGTACATCTTAAATACACATAAATGTATATATATATATATATATATATATATATATATATATATATATACAAAATAGTTGAAACTATTCTGCTTATATGTTGATTTTTTAAAAAATTGTCATGGACATCTTTCCATTCAATACATACACTTCTACCACAGCATTTTTATGACAACATTTTTGATGTTTTAAATTGTCACCATGAACAATACTGAGAGGAACATCTCAGTAACTTTGCCTAAATTTTCAATTCTTTCCTTAAGGCAAATGTCCTGGAGGGAGTTTTGATACATGTTGACAATTGTCTTCCAGGGAGTTACTCCCACCAGCAGCGTATAGGGGTTCTTGTTTCCTCAAACGCACATTTACATGCAGGGTTTTCAGTTCATCAGTTGGCATTTACTGAAATTCCTATGTACTCATAGTTCTGTCCTCCTGAGTATATTTTATTCTAAATGACTAAATGACCCTGAGATACCCATGGAGAGTGCAGTGACAGGAAGACCAGCTGGTTTGCAAGATTTAAACAAGACACTCCATGCCTAGCATGTGGCAGAGTGTCTATAAGTAGTAAATGCTAAGTGTATTGGTAACTATTATTATTGATATTTTAACTTGCAATCTTCCCCTTCATCTCCATTGGGAAAGGTTGTCTTTCAGCCTCCACATGAAATACACAATCTTCTTTTCCGTGTCTTTTAAAATTTCTTCAAGGATGAGTTAGACCCATTTTCTCTTCACCATGTGCACTTTAAATATATTTCTGTTGTAGGTCATATCATATTGTAACAAAGCGATTTTTTTATATGGTTGATTTTCTAGGTACACGTGAATCCCTGTAAATAAAGACCGTGTTTTATCTCTGCCACAGTGCTAAGCACAGGTCCTGACATATGATAGCAATGCAATGAATGTTATGAGTGAATGGATTTTAAAAAAGCGAAAGTGAAAAGGTTTCACTCTTCAAATAGGTGAGCTGTGACTTCCTCATGATTCCTTATTATAGGATTTAAGGTACAGAAGAAAATTGATGAGGACTTATGGTCCTAGTTTCCTCTGAAGTTTGCAATAGAATTAAGAAAATATGCAGCAGGGCCACGTGCAGTGGCACATGCCTGTATCCTAGCTATTCAGGAGGCCGATGTAGGAGGATCTCAAGTTTGAAGCCAGACTGGGCAACTTAACTAAGACCCTGTCTCAATAAAAATGGCTGGGGATGTTGCTCAGGGTTAGAGCACTTGGCTAGCATGTGCAAGGCCCTGGGTTCAATCCCCAGCACCTCAAAAATTAAAAGAAAGGGGAAAAAAAACTATGAGGCAATTATGGAAAAAACTATGAGATTTCATTGGAAGTTTAGACACAATGCTTGTGATGTGTAGGCAGGAGTGTCTTCGTTTTTTTCCCTGTGTTGTCAGAGTATGTCACTGAAGAAAAAGGAACTTGCCAAGTTTTCAGAAGGAGGGAAAAACTAACAGATTCCTGGGGTAGATGTCTGCTTAGACTTTCTTTCCTTTTCCCTCATCCACATGGGTGAGCCGTTTTAGTACTGTTATCTACTCCTTTCTGGCCATAATTAGTTAGTGGTGGACAATTTACTCAGGAGGAACCAATTCCTTCATTGTACTGAATCAACGAGAGTCTGTCCCTTGGTGATTAGGGCCAAGAAGGGCTAGTACTGATTAATTGCTGCTGGAGCTGGACCCGAGAGGACATGTAGTGGCACTTAGGGTGGCCATCTTTGACTCTGAGTATGAAGAAGGAGAATAAGCACATCTGCAGAGTGAGAAGAATGATACAAATGTGCCCCATTAAGCAGAGACAAGAAACCATGCCATCCATAGGGAGAGGGAAAGGGGGGTAGGGAAGAGAAAGAGAGGAAGAGCTGCCCGGGCTTTCCACTAAGGCTCTGTTCGCCTATAGGGCCTGGTCAGGTTCTGTGCTCTTTGTCTGCAGAGACACCCTTAAGTTAATTGTAAAAACCTTCAATGATGGACTGGGGGTTTTGGCTTAGTGGTAGAGCTGAACCTACCAAGGCCCTGGGTTCCATTCCCAGCATTGTAGAAAGGAAGAATTTTCTTTTTTCCATTTTTACTTGCTATTGGAGTCTTTTTATTTTCCTTTCTAAACTTCTAATACAAAGAATTTAACCAAAGTAGTAGTTTGTTTATTGTACAGAAATAGTGAGTGGTACTTTGAAAAGTACTGTCCATCCTGGAAGTGCCAGGATTTTGTCCCAAAAGACATGTTAGAAGGTGGTGTGGAGGTAGGGTGTCATGTCACTGTTCCTGATGCTTTGTGTATAAATCAGTCCTTATGGGCAGTCCAGCCAAGGGGTCAACTATTTTCTGTCTTGACTGTGATCCAAGTTGGTCTTGGGATGTACCCTGGCCCCACAGTGACCTGGATACTGTCCTCAGAATTTCTGTACCAGTTTTACCTCTTGGCACATTTGTAGAGAAAAGGATTAGGATCCTTTGGATTGGAGGCAGGCAGTATATATAAAGGGGAATAGCTGTGAGGCTTGCTAACTTCCTGGGAAAACTTTTAAAAATTCACCTACAGGGTGACTTATCATTCAAACTTTTGTTTGTTTCTGAAGATTGAACCCAGGGGCATTTAACCCAGTACCAATCCACATCCCCAACCCTTTCATTTTAAATTTGGAGACAAGTTGCTAAATTGCTTAGGATGTTGCTGAGGCTGCCCTTGAACTTGTGATCCTCCTGCCTTAGGCTCCTGAGTCTTGTTGAAATTACAGGCACACATCCTCACACTTGGCTCATTCAAACTTTTGAGAGTGAAAGGGACACTATTAATAGTGGAACAGAAGTCAAAAGTGGAACTATTTTTGGCAAACGGTTATATCGTCACCATATCTCTGGTGGTTTGTAAAGACTTACGTATCTATTAAATTAACAAAGGTCATAAGAACTGGTACTGACTTTTATTTGAGAATCCTTATTTTTTATTTTGTTTTAAAAACAAATATTTATTCATTGTAGACAAAATGATAAAATATAGATATACATAAAGAAGACACATTGGGCTGGGGATGTGGCTCAAGCGGTAGTGTGTTCGCCTGGCATGCAAGTGGCGCTGGGTTCCATCCTCCGCACCACATACAAATAAAATAGATGCTGTGTCCGCCGAAAACTAAACAATAAATATTAAAAATTCTCTCTCTCTCTCTCTCTCTAAAAAAAGAGAAGACACTAAAACAAATAATCAGTCACTCACCTCTCAAGGATAATGACTATTACTGTTTTGACACATATCTTTCCAGGTTTTTCTATTTATGCTTATATTTAAATAAAAATTAGACTATATTGTACATATCATTGTATAAATTGCTTTTAAATGTCTTTTCATGTCAATACCATTTTAAATAGTTATTTTCTAATTTACTTATGTGCCATAATTTGTTTAACAATCCCTATTCTTGGCCATTTAGGCATTTTCTAGTCTTGCTAATTGTGCTTTAAAGAGCCACTCAGAATGTTTTAGTGGAGAGGGCTTCTGACTTTTGCTATTTCAGCAAGTTGTTTTATTCATGAACTCTAATTCCATTTACATCAATTTGGGAGCAGTCTATCTTTTGGAATGAGACATCTTTTGCCCAGGGGGAGGTAATCAAATATATTAGTCTAGAGTCACAAGAATAAATTATTTTTTTTGCTTAAATTAAAACCATATGTTTATTAGACGTCATGTCTTCTTCCCTGTTCAATGGCATGCTAATCTGTTCCTGGTCTCTTTGTGGAATGAAGAATGAATCATGGTTTGAAGAACCATCATTCTCTCATTTTCTAAAGAAACTATTAATGATGGTCGTTTCTTACTTCTCTATTATTTTTTACCTAGAATTTTCTTTTATATTCCTACTTCCTAATATTTATTTTGTTTCCTGAGTATCCAGTCATAATTTTTTTTTCATTCCCTGCTACTATAACAACTTAGAACATTAAACATGCTCATAATACTTGGGTGGCATTTTATAGTGACACCTTATACATTCATGTATATTGTTTATAAAATATTTTGATAACCTGCCATAGATTCTCATTCTGTCCACATGCTTAAAAAAAGGGCAGCTCTGAAGAATAAATATGTGTTTAATATGTGTTTAAAAAAAATAAAAACCACCCTGCAATATTTTTTCTTGTGAAATAAAAGTGGGGAAGCAGAGGTTTTTTGTATGGAGGACCATGCTCTCAGAGACCTCTCAGGTGAGAAACACGCTGTAGATTGTATACATAAGCCTATTAAAACATTTTAACTGGTCACCAAAGC